TAATTTACCTTCTTTCTCACTGCGCCATGCTGCAGCAGGAGCATTTTCCCTCCTCCTCATCACATGGCTGTAAGGGGTAGAAAATGCAGGCAGAAGAAAAAAAAAATGCAGCCCCTTAGTTTCTGCAACAGGGTGGTTTCTCCTCAGGTTAGTGTACCTGCTTGAAGCCCAACAACACTAGTGCTGTTCCAAAAGTTGTATTTTATATACCTGCAACTGGACATGCACCAGAAGGTTCTGCAGACTGACAACAAGCGGGAAGACCTGCTGCACAGCAAGGGGGTGCAAGGCAGCATCCTCCAGTGACGACGGCTGTGGTTGCATAGCACCTTGGGCTGTGTTTTGCCCAACGATCACCAGCAGAGAGGAGGAGAAGTTCTGTCGCAGGAGGGCTTTCAGGAACTGCATGATGCTCACTAGACAGGGAGCCGCTTATTAGTGTGTGACAGTGTTTTCCTCCCCCCTGCCCTGTGTGTTGGTGCCTGTGCAATAGTATGGGAGAGGATGAGGAGTGAAAATTTGGGCTTAAGTTGGAGTTGCCCAGCAGCTGCTCACAGCTGCAGGCAGGAATGGCAACGTGAGTTCCCTTGTTCATCCCTTCCCTGTGAGACACTATCCCAGTTCACGCTCGGTTCCAGATGTCACTACCAACCTCCAAGGAAGATTTTTCCAAGCACAGCAGAACTCCAGACAGTTCCCTTTTGCCCTTTCTCATCACCAGTTACGTACTCCCAAAGCCAAACGGACCAAAGGTTCCAGATTCCCACCAGCACCCGCACCATCCCATCCCATAGTCACCAGTTCTCGCTTGTTGCCTGTAGCATGGTTACTAGCAGCTGCTTCCAGTCAAATCCCTGTAACAGATGCAAAATACCTAACAGCAGGATTGGCTGCTTCTTCCTGAAGATGACTGCATTCAGGACTTCTGTTAGGTCTAGAGAGAGTGTCTGGTGAACCTAGAGAAGAATTAAACAAGAGAATGAATGGTGCTGGTTTGGACCAGGTAAAAAGCTCCCTTACGTATTTTCAGTCCTTAGACACTACTCCACGATGACTACTGAAAACCAAGGGAACAGCAACAGGGTTTCAGGAGTTTGATCCAGAAGGGGATTCACATCACTGGGCCCTCAAATTTCACTCGCCACCAGCTGCCAGCCCCACGCAGCTTCCAAACCACAGTGCAACCCGTTTGCCTGTCTCATGCTCACTACTCCCTGCAGACCCTCTGGCACGTGGCTGGCAGACTGATGAGCACATGGAGTAGCAGGAACAACCATCACCAAACACAGCTTAGCCCCACAGCAGGACTGAGGAGCCAGGCAGCCAAAAGCCAGCAGTGACAACGAGAATCTGGCCCTGACTGCTGGAGCTGGGAAGCCTGCAGAGAGCCCAGGGCTAGGAACTATGGCATGAGTGAAGGAGGCAGAGGAGCTTAGGGACTTGGGAACTAGGGGAAACAGGGAAGGTGGGCTTGAGAAAGCAGTCTGCAAAACACTGCTTTCCGCGCAGAACAGCCGTCCATTGGCTGTTATTTATGCAATGGCATAAAACCTCACAGAGCCCCAGAAGGGTTCAAGCTCTTCGGTAAGGCAGAGAGTTGGCAAGGGAGGGCAGGAATAAGGACCACAAGGCTGATTCCTTCAAACTGTCTTCTGGAGAGGTGTTCAATAGGAGAGCGAGGAGTACCTGCTGCAACAGGGTAGCAGTGGTTATTTGTCAAAGAACTGACAAGCCAAAGCCTTTAATAGCGTACCAGCCATGACCCATGTTTACCCACAGGCTTCTGCTAAAGCCAGTAGCAGTAACACAGTTAACACGCAAGCTTGCTATGGCCAGACAAGCCCTCACTATTAACACCAGCCTGAGATTAACGTGGCCATTTCTCAGAGCCATTGCTCCGCTCTAAAAAAAAATGCAGGCTCCGGGAGACAGCCTGGCATCAGCTCACATTCACAGCCACAAAGGCCAAAGGCTCTTTTACAAGGGCCTCCAGGATGCTTTGTGCAGCTTCAGCTATACTGAGCCACAGAAAGCAGCAAAAGAAGTGAGTCTTCCTCTTATCCCCTCTCCTTCCCCCTCAGCAGAAGATTAGGAACGCTGAAGCTTAGAAATGCTGAAGATCAGAAATGCTGAAGCATCCTTGAATCAATTCCATTTGCCACCTGCATCTGTAGTTTCTTTGCCCATCTCTGGTGAAAGAAGGATTCTGGCACATCAAGCCAGTAAGGTATTGATGAAGCCAAACAAGGGTTTATAAGCTGCTAAATGATTGCACTTCAAGGATCAATATGAGCTGAGCGATTCAATCCCAGAAGATGAAGCTCAACACTAGCCACGGGAATTTAATCCCTTTTGGGACTGGCACAACACTGACCACCCAGACACAGCCCTGACTTGGAAACTGAGAAGGTAAATTGTGCTCAGCAGTTAACAGAGCAGGGACAGGCAGGTCTTGCCATGCATTCACGCAGCTGACAGCCCATACAAGTCCCGTGCCGCAAGACCTAAGCAGAGGCAGCACACCCACAAGGCAACAGGCGCGGACTTGGTCTGGGTTGGCCTTTTGGAAAACGTCTTCCCTCAGCATTAGAAAACCAACCCTTGCCTCTCTGTGCAGATGCACGCATGTCCTTAATGTGATTTTATCACCTGCAAATAGGCACACTGAGTCCCAAAGCACATACTCTGCTGGGCATAGCTGCAAGAGCAGAGCTCACAACTCCTGACATGCTGTTTAACTCCATATCAGGAGAGGGAGAGAGGCCTGGGAAGATACCAAAAGAAAACATTATCCCCTTGTGTCGGCATTAGAAAGTGCTTCCCTCAAAGCTGTAATTCTAACATCAGCTGACAACTCCAGCTTAGCTCTCTTGTCGGACTGCAAAGCATCAAACACAATGACAGCTGCCCACATTCATATGAGCTTGCTAATATTGAACACTTCTTTGCCAATAATAGGCTTGGATTGTGACTGTTCCACTATTGATCATTTTAGTACCAAAAAAGCAGTTTACAACATGGGAGCTGTATCTCCCACCCCCAGCTTTCCCTTGAGAAAGGCCTTAAAATGTATTTTGCTCTGTCCTGAAGAGGAAAGTGGTTTGGATCAGGAGGGCTAGGTATGCACTTTTTCCACCAGGGTTTCTGCCCCTCTCTAACTCTTCGATGATTCGGGTCTCAGCCTTCAGCAACATGCTAGCTTCCAGTCCTGCTGGAGAAGTACAGTAGGGAACAACCTATGGACAATAACAAAAGAGCAACCGAGACAAGCCGATCCCAGGCCAAAGCAAAACACTTTGCTAACGAAGATTTTTTTAAATTTTTTTTTTTTTTTTTTAAGGTTTAGCCAGTCTCTGGATCTGAACGCTAGAGTGGTTCTAACCTCAGTATTGTAGCGATGCTGATAAAGTAAGAGGGACGCTGCCAACAGCCATCCAGAGCACAGCAAGGCATCCTCAGATGATAAGTAAGCAGGTTCGGAGGGAGGGGACCGCAACCAGGTGCACTCCAAAACCTTCTGCAGGAGCTCTAGCAAGGACACGTTGGAGAGCAGCACAGCCACTGCTGTGTGGGAGAAACATAATCAGAGAGGCCGACGGGATGGCACAGGTTAAACCAGCTTGACAAGCAGAAGAGAAGTGCAGGGCACACCACTGCTGCAGTGAGGCAGCCCCAGCTGCCATGGCTCGTCAGAGTAAGGCTGTCCAGCTACGCTTGGTATTCATGTCCCACGGCACAAGCGACTTCTCGGCCAGCTAATAAAATGACCAGCCTTCAGCTAACACAGCTGGAAGGCTGATTAGAGCTGTTCTCTATTATTGTTTAATTTTTTGAACCATGGCAATACCAGGACATTTCAAACAAGGTGCGAAAGCCCCACTGCTGTGTTTTACGAACAAGAAAAATACAGTGATTCTGTCTCTCAGCAGCCAATTCCTGAATCATCAGAAGGCAGCGAAAACAAAACAAAACGAAACAAAACCCCCAACCTAAAAAACCTCATCCCAAATACAAAATGGTCTTTGTTAAGTGCAATGCTGCATCTGGAAGGGGAAAAATCCACCTTACCCGCTGAGACAGTTAGAATACAGTCTCTGATGGCCAAGCTACAACCTCGCTGAGGTTAACTTAATACAATCTTGCCTCACCTCTCTGTTGACTACAAGGCGTTGTCTGATGAAGGCTCCAGTACAGAAAATTCAAGGATGGCTGCAGGAGGTCAGTGTCCATCGTCCTGCATTTCCCACAGAGATTACTGACTGGAAACAAAAGAACGTGCATAACACAGACACCAATGTAACAGATAACCTCAGCACAAGAAAGAAGTCAGTCAGCGGTGACAGGATTCAGACAAGAGCTACACAACCTGAAGTGAAAATAAACAGAACATGGTGCAGAAAAAGCAACAGGCATCTGCCCTAGAGTGTTTGCTTTAGACCGGGCAGTGCAGTAGAAGATGATAATGGGGAGGGGGTGAATAGCAAAGGGTATATTAAAGGACATACATCACATTGAGCAGTAATGAATCTAAGAGCAACAGACTATAAGTTACTTGTTCCCACAGAGTGAGTTTGATCCTAATACTACGTCAACCATAAACAGCCATGTGCCTGTCTCACGTGGTGACCAGACTGGGGAATGGCACAGAGAGCTGTGCTCTTCCACTCCCACCAACTCTGCTCACACTAGGAATAAACGCGCCATGTTTGTTGTAATCACCAAACACTTAGGAGCAACATTTAGCAAGAGTTTGGGAGGGAAACCCAGGACTGCAGCACTCAGCAAAACTGTCATAGGAGATCTTTTAAAGAGCTTAAAGTCTGAGTAAACAATTCTCAAAAAACACACATCAACACGCCTCCCCGCACCCCTTCCATCAACGAGCTGGTTTCGTGTAAGCCTCATCAGAGGAGAGTGCCCTGCACACCCACCCCTGAAGAACATAGCCTGGGGAGCCAAGCAGGGAATGAAGGGGGTGGCTGGGGCAGGGAGAGAGTTGTGTTGAAAAATACAGAGCAGAAAGCAAGAGCAGAAGGAGCTTGTGACTCCTGGGAGCAGCTGAGCTGTGCTCTGAAATCACAGCAGCTAAAAAGGGCTGGTACAAAGAGGACATGCTTCTTCCACACCCCCAGTTCCCTTGGCTAATGAATGTCTGAGGAACACAGTTTCTTTACAAGGGCAACACAGGCAGCCCTGAGACATGGAACATTTCAAATTGAAGGGGATAGTCCTTCAAAGTCTGCTGGAGAGATCAATTTGTCAGAGCAGGGAAGAGATGAAAGGATGGATCAGCTGAATGTCCCTCTAGTATCTTTTTCACAGCCTGCATGAACCTCCAATAGCCAAGTAAGAAAGGAGAAGTCAGGATCACCAGACAAGACAGCAGGTCATGGTATGGTGAGTAAACAAAGACAGCCCGCTCTTCTGTGTCTTTGGGCACCTGGTTGGGACCTGTATACGCTGGACTCACACTCCAGGGAGAGCCTAGGTTCACTGGGCTGCTGGTCCCCCATGGCTGGTTCACAGGACACCCCTGTGGCCTGAACCCTACAGGAATGTGTCAGCAAGCGTGGACAGGAAAGGATGTTTCAGGAAGCATATCAGCAGTACCGTCCTGTGCCAAGTCAACAGTCACAGACCCTGAAATCATGTCACGGCCAGGTGAATACTTTGGCCACCTTGTGAGGTTTCAGACAACAAATGTATTGTAAAAGCAAGAGAAAGACAACCTGGGTTTTGTTGACTGAACTGGTATCCAGGGCTCTTTACAATGTTCTGGCTATGAAAATATTTCAAAGCAACCACAACTGTAATGCAAGGTACACCCTAATCACCTTATGGAACAATTAACAAACACAGATCGAAGCCCCCTGGGAGAAGGTGGATGCACAGACTCACCCTGATGAAGCAACTTGAAGTCTGTGCTGTCCAGCTCCCTCACACCCTTGCTCCGCAGCTGCACCAGGAAAAGGAGGCTCAGCAAAACAGGCAGGTTCCTGTTAGCTAAGAAGGGGGAAGACAGCTTAGCTTGTCAGTGAACTCTAAACTGTTGTACCTTAAAGCATGCCAAGAATTGTTAATTTTCCGGCTCAGGAATGAGGGTGCTTTAGGGGAGGAAGTATGCCCCCTTTACGCTCACACACACAGACACGCTCCCAACAATTCTCATCTCTACAGTCCCCTCCAGATCAGGCCCCCTTCCTGCCACTGTGGGTCAGCCTGAGTTACACACTGGACCCTGCCAACACCATTTTAGGAACAACCAGAAAAGAGGGGTGAAAAAAGAGGCGAGGTTCTTTTACACCCTCAGTGAACTGTGTAAGGGGCATGGTCACCTCACACTCAAATTGACACCTCTAATAAGCTAGAAGTCACCAGCCTTTGCAGACTGCCCTCTTACCATCTACTTACCGTCACTGGCAGCCCATGCTTTGACAGCAGCCGAGCACCTCAGAGGACTCAGTTGCACAGCATTTGTTTTCCAGCATCTTGTGAGGCCGGAAAACGCTGTCCATCCCACCCGAGAGGGCAGAGCAGCGACAGCAGAGGTGAGAGCCCCACACGACAGCAGAGGTGAGAGCCCTACACAACAGGTCTGTACACAAGGAGAATGGAGCTGCTCAGACCACCAACTCCCCAGGGCAACCCCCTCCATCCTATACTCACTCTTCTGCAGCACTGTAAACAAGTAAAGATTTTGCATTGTATATAGCCATACCTACAGCAAGCAACCATAGCCTGCAGAAAACATCTTCATAAAGGCTCAGGAGTTTTCAGTTTTGAGGAGGAGATATTTATGGGTGTCTTTAATGTTAATATATTCTTGATGGAGTCCCACTGTTTGGGCCTTCTTGTTGTCTAAGAGCAGGGTACTGTTTGAACAGGGATGCAGATCCCTTGGACTTATCTGCCCCAGACCTCACAGAGAGCTGCCTGTGTGCTGGGAGACAAGGAAGTCGTGTCTCCAGAGTACATCTGGTGTTTGGCTTTCCGGATGGGGCTGCCAGTAACTCAGCTAAAGAGTTCAAGATGTAGTATGAAGAGGAGCTGGGGATATTAGACACAGGAGAAGGGCTCTAATCTTGCAAAAGCCCCTCTAGCCCAGTGTTCTGTCTCCATCACCAGTGGTTTGGAAGAATAGGTCTGACTCCCGCAACAGGAAATGGACAATCTACCTCCCCACAGCCCCTGGCACCCCTAGATCAGTGACACAGGGACACCACAACTCCAAATGTTGGCAATTCCAAACAAGATCAGATCTGGCAGATACCAACATTGCCTTCTTTATCCATAGCCTTGAGGCCTCATGCTCTACCATGCTCCTTTCAATCCTCCTCTCCTCCAGCCTACTGACTTTGCTGGAGGTAAGGCAAAAAGTTTCCCTCTTGTTGCTTCCATCCCAACTGCTGCACAGCAAAACTCAAACAGAGCAGGGCTGTTACAAGTGTCAGCCACTCCCTCAGGAACAAGCAAAAGTTGTGCTGGGCCCCTATCCCAGGGGAGCCAAGGTCATCCTAGCACTGCTCCCTTTTTCAGTTCAAGCTCACAGATTGCTTTGTGCAGCACCATTCATGATGGGACAACACTCCCAACTCCACAGCCAGGGCTAGTAAGGAAAACAGAGGGATTTCCCCTAGTCACAACCCTGCTAAATCTTTGAGAGATTTAATAGAATTATGAGATCTGGTAGTACCACAGCTCCTGTTTGGAGATCAATATCATGAATGATTCAAACTATCTCTGCTCCCCGTCCCTGTGCCCTGGGAACTGAGTGTACTCAGGTATACAAAGATGTTTTGCACAGAGAAAAGGCAAAAAGGAGGATGTCTTTCAGTCACCAGTTGAGACCCTGTTCAAGCTGGGAGATTTACCAGCACAGTTCTCCACTTGAACACTCATGACAGCATAAAAAAAACTTTGCCTTGGTTTAACAATCACAGTTTGAAGCCAGAACAACCTAAATCAAAAAAAGACTCTCTCACTTCAAGAATGTCTGCAAAAGGAAACTAAATCAGCACAGCTCTGTCCGTAAATTTCCTCATGCACATAAGCACTGAAGCTGTATCAGCAGTCCAAAACCACTTTATCCCAGACTGCATCCCTTCAGCCATCTACCCTACCAGTTGATTTTACACCAAGACCAAGTCACAGCGGGGGGTCACCTTGTAAGGAGGCTGAGCTGCACTCTACCAGCAGCTGCTGCAGAATCTGTAGGAACCGACTCCGGAGGAGGTCACAGACAAGGACATCCTCATTTCTTTCCAGGAAGGTCCTTAGAGTCATCAACACCTTCCAAGCCACCTCCACAGAGCTTGAACAGACCAGGTCCTGCCAGGGAAAAAGCACACACATTACCTTTCTGCCCTGATTAGGCCGAAGTCGCTGCTATTTAATACCATTATGCTAATCTGGTGCCTTGGGAAACAGCCTAATAAAGCACCATTCAGATTAAGTATGTCCTGATTAAATAGAGAACTGAATAAAGCAGACGGACTCTGTCTGATAGGCACTTCTGAGTAATATCCTGTTTAAAGAATGCATTTGGCTATGTAACGCGCGTCCAGCACACAAGTGTAGGGGTAACATACATTTAAGGTCAAGGTTTTAGACAAGTGAGATCCTAAAGCCAGGGCCCTGTTTCCAAGAGCAGAGAGCCTCTGGCACTTCTGCTCTCCTTGTTGTTTTGAAAAATCAGGTTGCATATTAAAGATGCTTACCTAAAATCAAGTTTATGAGTCAGTCCATAGCTACCCATTTTCAAAAGGCTGGCAGCCTTGTATCTGCAGTAGCAACGTAACAGCTAAACTGCATGAAACGCACATAAACCAGACAAGCAATCACTCAATCACGGAAAATGGAAGAGTCGTGTACACAGCATTCAGCCCACGAGGCTGCTTCTTGACTACAGAGCTCTGTCTGGAGTCTCTGAGCTGAATCCCACAGCCAGTAGCCTTAGTTCGGGCATACTTTTGTTGTTAAGGTGTTTAACATTAAATTCACCTGCACAGCATGTACAGATGCCATGCCATGAAGAGCAGGCAGAAAATGCCTGGTAGCGCTGACATAATATGATTGTCTCAACATGTATTATGTCAGCACTACCTTTCCTCTCCTCCCCACATAGTCCTGGCTACTGCATTGCAAATGCTACAGCTGAAAGGGGTAAACAGAAAACTGGTTTTGGCAACCAAGCCTACAGCCTGCTAGGACCAAGCCTACTGCCTTTTCCAGCTGCCTTCCCCTATCACACAGTAGTCATGCATCCAGACTGGGATGATGGAGAGGAAATGGCTGCGGCACCCCATACCCAAGGAAAGGAGTTAAGGTAAGAACAGGCTGCCTGTGCCAGAAAAACCCCTCTATTTCTGAGCCTGATTCCTGCCCATATCCGAGACCTTCAGGAATAAGGGGCAGGGAGCTGTCTGCACAATTGGCTCTGCTGACATAGATCTGCTCCATATGACATTCGGGAACATAATCCAACGTCAGTCAGCCTATCCCCATTCTCTGAGAGATCTGGAGCATGGAGAAGACAAGAGGGACAGCAGGTGATCACGACCACATTCACCCCAGATGAACACAGGCAGCACAAAAAGGCACTAACCAAGGGCCACAGCCTTCCTGGTCCTGGTAAATGCATCACCGTGTTAACATCTTCCTTCCTACTCAGGAGCGCAAGGTCTCAGATGAAGGCACTAACTATCTGTTCTATCTAATCCAGACAATTATTAAAAGCAGATAAGCAAATAAATCATCCTTGGAAGGACATTCATTTTTGTTTCACTGTACCATGCAGAGGCCTTTCCATTTTACTAGTGGGTTCTCAAGCTGAGGTTATTCACCTCATAAGTTTTGTTTACATCTGACAGTATATTTATCCCAGGATATTGCACTGTTTTATTAGCCCATCTAAATTCAGATTGATTATGCTCTTCCCCAACTGAAAGGTGAATTGTCAAAGCCTGTGATTTATTACAACTCACTTTAAAGACCAGGACAGAGCTAAATTAATTTATTCCTGCCAGAGCACATGGCAAGACAGAAAGGGGAAGGCAGGAATGCTGTACCATTCAGGGAAGGAGCTGCTGTTTCTCTTTTGCTTATTGATAGACCTGTGTTGTATAAATCTGCTTTACTTTATGGAGTGGTAAGTTCCAGAACTACTACCAAGGGTAACAGTGTAGGCAAGTCTGATGGGACACTTCCCCTTAATTTGTACTGATACGTCAACTCATTGACCACTTTTACTAACGCTCTGCAATGGTATCAAATGCCTGAATGTTGCTACCTACGTTGCAGTATCACCTTAACTGTGAAAGAGCTGCTCTATGCAACAGCCCCCCTGTCAGTCATTTCAGTAACCTGGGATAGTAAAATTTATTTCATAGTGTCTTAGATCAGAAAAAATACATGCCAGTCTGTAACGCCCGATGGGTGCCCACTCAGAATCAAACCTTGCTTCTTCGCTGTCTGCTGATATGGATTTCTATTCTCAGTGATACGTAGTTTTAATTTCTCTAACAGGCTGGAGAAGAAACATCACAGCTTTTAGCTTTTGCCCTTACAGGCAAATCTCATGTTCTTGCGTGAAAATGTTAGCAAGTATTTACTACGTGACTGGCTAAACAGTCATGGGACAAGTGGCCACTGATGGGGAGGGGCGACAGGGCAGGTGGGAGAGGTGGACGTGAGAAAAGGCCTCTGAGCAGCCACCAGGACCTGGATTCTGTCATGAGTACACAGGTTAACAGAGCTCATTATGCCAGCTGCTACTTCAAGGCCCCTTGCTCCCCTGCACCAATTAACTTTCCCTGTCCTGAGATTTTTATTTTATCTTTTAAGAGCAATAAAATGTGCTATTTGCAGTCCTGAAAATGCAAGAGTACTGCAAAAATCTCTGACAAGACTTTCCACTTAAAAACAAACAAAATTAAAACCCCAAGCAAACAGAAAGCATTGCCCTCAAGACCTGCTCTCTGCACACTGCTTTTTAAAAGTTCTTTGTTCCTCGTACCCTTCTCATCTATCAGTAGTAAACCATTGCTCCCAAATTAGCAAAACAGCTTCTTGAAAGGCTGCCACAGAAGAAGCTGGAGTGCCCAGCTGTGTATCTGCATAGAGAAAGGAATGGGGTTTTTCATGCCATACATCAGCAGCACCCTTCGGATCCCTTCCTAGCCAACTCTCAACAGATCCCTTTCTATCACAGTGGATAGATGACAGAGAAAGAGCTGACACACATACACAGTCCCATTTTCCATATCAGGCTTCCCTGGGAGGTGGAAGTCTGTGTATAGACACATGGGTCCTTCTAGCAGAATCCTTGGCCTCATAACAGCACTAAGAGCATTAAGAACCAAAAAGCCCCCTGAATCAGGGCCAGGATAGCAGCCTGTCCTGGGGAAAGTCACATACCAGTAAAATAAGTAAAATGCTGGAATTGCTCTTCAGAATGGGAAGTAACGGGCTAGTGCTGTCCAGGTGATCAGACACACCAAAACCACCTCCTGCAGTCTCAGTTTGCTTGCAGTCTCCCCAGGAAAACCAGAGTTGGAGGACTTGGTGTCCAAATCCGTAGACTAAGCTCAGATCTGGAAGATTATCCAGGATCCTCCTTATGGTACACAACGACCTCTGGTAAGTGTGTGGGAGGGGGAGAGAGAACAAAATAATCACTAGAAAATGAATATCGAAGAGCTGAAGTGATGAGTTCACTGTGAGAAACAGTCACACTGCCTTTTAAGTAGACAATCAAATATATCAGTTAAACATCATTTTGTGAAGCCCATTTGCATCACAAAGGCTAAGAAACTTGTAGGCTTTGTACAGTGCTCAAAGCTGTGCAGCAGCAAAGAGCCATATGGGAACACTAGAAAGCCTGCTGCAGAGGCTGTAGATGTGTTCAGGAGACTGCAGCTATGAAATTTATTATATTCCGTATGTGAATTCACAGCCTATCCAACGCATTTACACTTCCCACACGTACGCAAGTTTATTCAGTCAAATCTATATTCCCTAGTGGCTTTTCACAGTTAACTTTCCAGAGTGTAGATGCACTGCACACTCTTCACTCATTCACCGCTCACCCCCTATGTCAAAATACTTTGTGCAAGAGGGTGGATGGGAGTGAGGAGAAACCTTAGTTTCAACAAAAAGGGTTCAAGAGGTAGGAATGAAATATTCTTTTACCAAGTCCAGGGCTTTGCCTTTGTCCTGACAGACAGCAAGGAGGTAAAGCGCAGCTCTGAGTACGTAAGGAGGGGGACAGTCTCCATGCTCCTGGGCTGACAGGAGGAAATTTCTTATGGCTACAAATAATTCTGCTTCTGGGACAAACCTGCATTCAAAGAGATTGGAGTGGAAACAGTAACATTACACATGCCTTACCCACCAATACATGATATGTTAATGCCCACAAACCCACTTGCTTTGTATACTCTTGGCTCACCTGTCCCCAAGGGTGTAGGCGAAGTATAACAGTAGTATGAAGCAGTGTTGGTGGCTGCAAAGAGACTGATCCAAACAGAAAGGCTCAAGGGTTTCAGCCAGGAGGAGAAGGCTTTCAGCCACGGTGTAGTTTAATTGAGGCAGACCCTTCTGCAGGAGCTCAGACATCTCTTGCTCTAGGAATAAAACTAATATGAGCTGGCAGGCAGTGATGAGGAATGTCTATGACAAAGTGGAACAGGGAGATGGAAGCATCTGCCTGCCCTAACTCTAGCACATTGAATTAGGGAAACTCCTGATGTAAGAAATATCAAAGCCAACCTACAGTCTGCATACAGCAAGTGCACCTCTATGATTTGGCATGAACAGAAGTGTGAGAGCTGATTTAATGGAGCTGGCTTTGAGGATGAAAAGACACTTCTGTTTGAGGTTCCCAGCTCTTTGCTGATGCTGCCTGTATGGTGACCAACCACTGCCAGTGGGAAAAGTGGCTTTTGTGATGTGGAAACTTTCATCTCATTTCTTTGGGACTTACCTATTATGGAAAGTTACAGTACAGACAGGAAAGCTTTACAGAGTATGCCTGAGTTAAAAATGACCTTCATCTGCAGATATGGGTGACTATAGGGCAAGCAGTATTGTTTCAATTAAGCCATGCACAGTTGTGCTAGTAAATGTCACCATGTAAACAAAACCAGGTAGGGTTCCAAACTCTTCAAAAGGCATTCTCTGAGCATTATCTCCCTGTTGGACCAGCTTAAAAAAAAGCTGGGGAAAAAAAATCTCTAGATAGAGTTTATGTGTGTCCTCCCTTCCCTCCTCCTTAGTTTTTTTATTATTATTTTTGCACCTATTGCCTAAATAGAGGGTGGCAGGGCCTCAAACTAAATGAAGCAATTTGTATCTTTCCCCAAACTTGCCCTCCTGGGAAGAAGTTCTCTCCTTCTCTGTAGTTGAGTAAAGGCTCAGGCACAAGCTGTAGAGGAAGCTGGAACAGGCCTGATTCAAGGCAGGATTACTGTGAAGAAGAGCAGAAAGGTACAATGAAGAAGGCTAGAAACACCCTCTTCATATTTCTAGTATCATATGCTGTCTGCCACAACCTCAGTTTACTGAATGATCACCTACAAACACCTGGCCCGTCACAACAAGACTCCAGGAGCCAACCTGGGCTTCCAGGAAAATGAGGAGTTCCCCAAGGACAGTCAGCTCACAGATGTGGCGGGTGTGCGCGGTGACCACAGTGAACGTGTTCACGTACCTCGGGACAAAATGAGTACAGTGGGGTACTCTCACAGTCATCATACCTGGCATACACAGGGAGTCTTGTAAGACACTAACACTGCAGAGAATGGGAAGTGTTTCAGGGTGGCTCTCAATACCTGATTCCACTGGCAAACACCAGTGAGAAGATTTTGTAGCAACGGTGTTTCCAGGGATGAACAGTGAAGAATGCCAAAACGCTAACTGAAAGGGTGAGAACAGCTCTATTTCCAGGTATTTCTCTCCCTCCAATGATTTCCTTGCAGAATCAGACATAACCAAACATCTTTGCACTGTAAGACGCCATCCTTGGTGCCTCACACGACTGTAGTCAGAGGCCTAGATTGCTCCCCACACACCATTCACAGGCACAAACATCCCCACTCTAAGTTCCACAGTGGTAACCTGGACTAGGGGTGCTGTGTATTTTGTTTACTATTTAATGAGATGCCATCACAGGAAAGAGGAGGTAAAACATCTCTGCAGACCCACAGAGTCTCCCCAAGTGCTCCTCAAGCTAGAAATCATAGCGGCTACTACAGAAGACCCTTTGCAATGTCTACTGCTGAAGTCCTTCTCCTCCCTCCCATTTCTTATACATTATCACACCATGAGGAACAAAGATAGTGGTAATATGTGCCTGGGAAGCCAGAGCTCAGATGGAACCGATGCTACTGTTACTCCTTTTCAAAACACCCACTGATTTGACTACTCCAGAGTCAGGCTGCTTTATCTCTATCCGCGCAGCTCATGACGGAGCACAGAATTCTCACAACGCTGTGTAAATCCACCCGCACCCTACCTGACTGCTTCTCCCTTCTCCCACATCCAGCTTTTCCATTGTCAGTTACCGTTTACATTTTGCAATAAGATACTCTGGAGTCTTTCAGCCTCCCATCTTGCCTAATCAGGTGCATTAGTTAAGGCATGATCTGCTTTCCCATCTGGAAATTTTTGATCGCTCCCCATACACCCATCACAATACCTTTGTACAGAGCAAAATCTGCCCTTCAGCTCCAGTGTCAGTTGGATGAAGGAGGAAGATGCTGGACAGAAAGCAAGACAAAAATGTCAAAGGAACACAGAACATGTACGATAAGGGAAAAGAGTAGGCAGGCCTCATAACCATCCCTACAGATCTCCACGCAAACCTGGTGAACAGGGCAGGCCATCTCAGTACGAATACATTTGTTAGGCTTTCTCTCCCAAAGCAAACTACTCCGAGTTTGGTTTGGAGGGGAGTATCTGAGATTCGTTTGTTTTCTCAGGAGGAGAAGGGAAGATTTGCCAGCTTCATGTGTTTAGAATAGAGAAATTCTGTACATCACCTCTCTGATGTGCAAAGACTAAGAAATACAGAGAATAAATAGGATTTCTACATAGTAAAATCCCATCAACAATTCCAGCATAATCCCTGTCTACAGGAACAGCCAATTCTGAATATTCCAGAGGAAAGGGTAAAGCTGACACAACTTACTTATCTAAAATAAAATCTGTCCCATCATCATTGCTAGACCAAATAACTTTTTCATCC